TCTGAGAAAACCGCTGCGCCCAGCGTCCAAGCTACCGTTACCGACGAGAAGAAGGGTGCTGTCGAAACCGTTGCTCCTGCTGCTGGTGTAGCTGTGGATGCTGCCCAGCCCATCGTTGAAGAGAAGACTTCGCGACCCAACTCAACAGCCGAACCAACATCAGACGACGACGACAACTTTGAATACCCCACAAAATGGAGGCTTACTGCGATTACCGTGGCACTTTGTCTAAGTGTCTTCTGCATGGCGTTGGTAAGTTGCCTCCTTCTGTAATCCCCGGTTCCACGGCTTTGGTACGCCATTGATCGACAGCGGCTACACCTGTCAAACCAACCCACGAGATCTGCACGTGAGTACGCGCTAACGCCTCTGTTTAGGATAACACAATCATCGCAACAGCTATTCCTCGCATTACAGATCAGTTTAAAGCGCTCAACGATGTAGGCTGGTATGGGTCGTCGTATCTACTGACTACATGCGCGACGCAACTCATCTACGGAAAGTTCTACACTTACTATTCCATCAAATGGGTATACCTCATCGCGCTCTTCATCTTCGAACTCGGCTCGCTTATCTGCGGTGTTGCGCCAAATTCGACTGCCCTCATCATCGGACGCGCTGTCGCTGGTGTCGGAGCAGCTGGTATCTTCTCCGGAGCCATCTTGATCATCTCGGTCACCGTACCGCTGCGCAGTCGCCCTACTTACATGGGACTCATTGGAGGCATGTATGGTATTGCGTCTGTTGCTGGCCCACTGTAAGTTGTGGAGAAGACGTTTGGATCTAAGATCGACATGGACTAATGTTTGCTTTAGCATGGGCGGAGCCTTCACAGACCATTTGACTTGGCGATGGTGCTTCTACATCAACCTTCCCTTCGGTGCCGTTACCGCTGCCTTCATCATCCCCTTTCTCAATGTCAAGCGTCGTGGCAAGAAGATCACGGCTACATGGCAACAGCAGCTTCAGAAGTTCGATCTTCCCGGGACCGCGTGTTTCTTGCCGGCTATCATCTGCTTGTTGCTTGCGCTCCAGTGGGGTGGTAGCAAGTACGAGTGGAACAGCGGACGTATCATCGCGCTCTTCGTCATCTTTTTTGTCCTCATCTGTGGATTCATCACTATTCAGTGGTGGAAGCAGGAGGATGCCACCGTCCCTCCTCGTGTGTTCCTCAACCGCAATGTCTGGGGCAGCGCGTGGTTTGGTGCCATGTTGGGCGCGTCCTTCTTCCTCATCGTTTACTACCTTCCCATCTGGTTCCAGGCGATCAAGGGCGCGTCTGCAACCAAATCCGGTATCATGAACCTTCCCGCCATTCTGGGACTTGTCATCATCTCGATGCTTGCCGGTGGTGCCGTCACAGCTCTGGGTTACTACACTCCGTTCATGCTCACGTCGTCCATCCTGATGGCAATTGGTGCCGGACTTTTGTCAACGCTGGAAGTCAACAGCGGCTCGCCGCAGTGGATCGGCTACCAGTTCATCTTCGGTGCTGGTGTCGGTTTCGGTATGCAGCAGACCCTTGTAGCTGTTCAAACAGTCTTGCCGGCCGACGACATCCCCGTTGGTACCGCGATCATGATGTTCACCCAGACGCTCGGCGGTGCTCTCTTCATCTCGGTCGGCCAGAACGTCTTCACCAACCAGCTCATCAAGAACCTCGCCAGCATCGTGCCCGATCTCGATGCGAGCATCGTCCTCCGTACAGGCGCAACCGAGCTCAAGAACGCCATCGACCCCGAGTACCTCGGCGGCGTACTAACGGCCTACAATCTGACTCTTACCCAGACATTCTACGTGTCGGTTGCTTGCGGTGCCATGTCGATTGTCGGCGCGGTGTTCGTAGAGTGGAAGTCGATGAAGGGCAAGCAGATCACCATGGCTGCTGCTTGAGCGAGTCCCAAGACCGGGGACTTTATTTCAACCTGATGTGATGTCTTCTTGGGCGTCTAGATGCCTGTTTTGTATGATACCCTTTTCCAGCGGCATGTTAGCACCAGCATCTTGCAGCGAGCGCGGCGTTTGTCTTTTGGCATATACATTGTAATAGACGAGTGATGAATGGGAGAAGTGATAGACACGGCACTTTGCTTTTTGGCCTGATGTGCTGGCAAAGGCATGACGACTCTTCGCTCTAAGAAACCTGTAATTGAATAGATCAACACAATTGCATTAAACTCTTGGCCCGGTCGTTTCACAGCCACCAGCCACACCCCGAGGGCTTGTCGAGCCGGTCCCACCCGCCGTGACGTCAGCCCGTTTGTCGTGGTTTGACTCTTTTGGGACGTCACATGCAAGTCCCTTTCCCACCCAGGACGGCCGAGAAGAAAGTGTGTGGAGCCGGCAGCTGACATGGGCGAATCAACGCAGAGGGCGGCTGGAGAGTGGGTGCTGGATTGGTCGCGCGGGCGGTTGGTGTTCAACGTCGTCAGGCTTTAGGCTGATGCTTAGCAAGGCTTGTTTTTTGCAGGGTCAAGCCTCCCACTGGCGATCAACACTCATCCTGCGCTGCGCCCGCCTTCGATTGCGCGTTCGGCGCTTCTTTTCCCAGCCTTGCATATTCTGCTGACACCCGCCCACGCCATGCGCCTGCAGACTGCGCTGCTCCTGCGACGATATACATTTGACATCCACTGCTAGCTGGCCTCTGCCGCGCGCCACAGTTCCGTTGCGCCGAGACGCGACAACAGCCGGCAGAGCCCGCACGACCCGACGTCTTACAGACAGAGCCACTGTCGCGCATCGCGGCCATGGCAGAGGAGAAGGAACCGAGGCCTGAAGCCGCGCAGAACGGGCATGCGCCGGTCGTGCCGGAGAAGGAGGGCGGGTTGGACGGCGCTGATAGCGAGCCCCCAAAGCCGCAGAAGACGGATACGTCCGGCAGCAAGAAGAAGGGCCCGGAAGGAGGCTTCGACGACACGCCCATACCGCGCGCGCCGCCCGGCTATACCGTCAAGTTCACCCTCCACCGCGCCAACAACCTCCCGCTCGCCGACATCAACACGCTCAGCGCCGATCCCTTCATCATGGCGCAACTGTACACCGGCCTGCCCACGCGACACAAGGAAGACCCCCCGTTGACGCTGCGAACGCCGACGATCCGCCAGAGCACCGATCCCGTGTGGGACTGCGAGTGGGTGGTCGCCAATGTGCCCTCGTCCGGCTTCAACCTCAAGTGCCGCATATACGACGAAGACCCGGCAGACCACGACGACCGCCTCGGCAACGTGCACGTTACCGTCCCCTCCATAAACGAGAACTGGGGAGGCATACACGACCAGACATACCCGATCAAGAAGCGCATGGTGAGCAAGCGGGCCTATGCGCTGCGTGCCATGGCTGTATGTTTCGGCAAGGCGCATCACATGAACGGCACGCTGAACGTGAGCGTGCAAGTGCTAGGCAGGACCGAGGATGAAAACGGGGGGCGCGCATATACGATTGGACCGCAATTCTGGATACGGCACTACTCGCCGCTCCTGGGACGCTTGCTCGGCCAGAAAGAGCCCAACAACGATGGCAGGGTGTCCCGCAGGAACGGCAAGCAGAAGCCTGAGAAGTACAACTTCCAGTCGAATCAGATGCAGATGCGCGGTCCGGTTCCCGAAGCCATGTACCACCGCTACGTCGAGTTCAAGCCTTTCGTTAAGAGCATGTTCACCGCTAAGGGCGTGCGAGGATTCGTCTTATCCAAGGCACTGCACCACCAGCACGCGCGCGTATACAACTTCGATCACGCCACAGAGTTCAAGGTTCTGCCTGCGCCTTGCAAGGAGTTCACGCAAAAGTTCCTCGAACTAGTCCACTACGATCAGGGTGGGAGAATCTTCACCTACGTCTTGACCCTCGATGCGCTCTTCCGATTTACAGAGACTGGTAAAGAATTCGGCATCGACATGCTGAGCAAGCATACCATGCACAGCGATGTGGCAGCTTACGTAGCATTTTCCGGTGAGTTCTTCATCAGAAGACTAAAGCACAAGGACCGCAAGCCTCCGGATGAAGGCGGGAACAACACATCCCACCCGCCAGGCGACATCGACGGCGGACCCCCCAAGGAAAGCCCAAACAAAGACCCAGCCTACTACGAACTCGTCATCGACAACGACTCTGGCACCTACCGCCCCAATGCCAAACTCCTCCCTCAGCTTAAAGAATTCATGTCCCAGAACCTGCCTGGCCTACACATCCGCACCCTCGACTGCCAAGGCGACGCCGAGAAGATGGAAGCCATGAAGTCCGAACAGCGCGAGCGCAAGAAGAGGGAGGGCCAAGCTGTGGTCTACACTCAGATCAGCAGAAGCAGCAGTATGAGTAGTAGCGACGAAGAGGAACTGGATCGTCTAGAGAGTGAAGGTCAAATGGCGCCCAAGCATCTCAGACACCAGGTTCAACGGGAGGCCGAGGCGAGAGTCGATGCATTGAAATTCCATGCCAAGGAATACCGCCCGAGTAATAACCACGAGGGATGGAGGGGCGATGGCCATCCCGCTAGAGCCGATGACGGGGAAGTGGACAAGATGAGGCAGGAGAACGGAGATGAACCGGTGGCATCGCACGAGAGCACACAATCTGGTGCTAAGAGCTAACCTGCATACTCGACTAACGTCTATTCCTTTTCGTCCATCTGTCATCATCACGCCTTGTACATGGTTTCCTTGATACGTTTCCCAGCATATCATCTTCTTGCACTCGAGCTTCTGCTACTTAAGTGTTTTCTTTTTTCGTTGTGCTTTCTTGAATTGCATCTTGTCCGAGTTGAAAACGCTTGCAGCTGAAGAGAGCCAGAGAGAGAGGGAGGAAACATTACATACACGGACACTCTCTCTACCCCGAGATACCCGCCATCCTATATTCCTGTAGTAGAAGAGCTTAATTTCCTGACATTATCAAATTATTTGTTATCATTGTAACGAATGCTTTTCCGTCTTTGTTAAACACTACGCATGAGCCCTGCCAGCCGTGAAGACTCTACATTGGTTCACCCAACCACGCGTTCCTCACACCCACTCCGGCACCTCAACCTCCGGCTTACTAACTCCAAACCTCACTGCTTTGGCATAATACTCCAACAGCGCTTCCCCTTCTTGTCTCCCCCTCTCAAACTCCTTCCTCAATCTCTCCCTCCCCTCGCCAAACAACCACACCTGCTCCCCGCCAGCACCCATCCGTTTTCTCATTCCCCGACTGTAATCGAGCGCGTGCCGGACTTCTCGGCGGTCTGTGGCCTTGGCTTTGAGCGCGATGTAGGCGGTTAGGTTGATGAGGACGGCCAGGTCGAGAGGCGTTGTCAGGGTTGTTGGAGTGGTGGCTGCTGAGGCGGAGGAGGTAGTAGAGGTCGATGTCGAGGTGGAGCTTGATGCGGTAGACGAGGGATATTGGGGCAGATCATGGCCGGTTTCGCTTCTTAGGGCAAGGAAGACGCCGGTTGTCAAGGCGGCGTGGATGTAGGTTAGTGGGAACTTGTTTGTGGCTGTGTGCAGTTCGAGGCTGCTTTCTAGGGCACTGGATAGTGGGGTCCAGACTTGGAGTGGGGGAGCGCGGGAGCTGTTGGTGTTGGTGTTGCTGCTGGTGCGTTTGGGCGTGGAAGAGGACAGGGTTTTGAGGACCCAGAGATGAGCGTTCGCCCATTGTTGGGGTACGTTCCAGTTGGTTTGTTCAGACGCGTTGTTCAAGCTCGTTTCGAGTAGACCGGGATATGCAAAGAAGTAGTCTCTTATCGCGCGGTGGGTGTAGCTTATCCTCAGGCTCTCGGTACTGGCGTGTTGATCGGGTGGTGTGGTGTCGAAGATGGTCAACATTCCTTTACACCGCTGTTGGGTGAGGGTCTGCATGTCTTCGACTCTCTTACTTATCTCGACTGCTGTCAAGGGCCGTACATCTGCGGCTAGTGTTGCTGACGTCTCGGCTGTGAAGGCAAAGGAGAAAGGAAGGATGGCCGGGCATATGTCTTGATGTGAGAGGAGGGCGTGCAGTTTTCCAACTGCTTCGACGTCCTCTGGAGCCATTTTGCTGAGCATGTGGGCGAGCAGATCGTCCAGGAGATAGGGAAGCCCCTCCGCGCGATCTTTCAGGACGAGGAAATCAGAGTCGGGCTCTAGACTTTCGAAGAGAAATGTGGTGGCGAGTTTCAGCCACAGGAACACTCCTGAGCTCTTTTCAGCGAGCATCCCGACGATGTGTTCTTCCTCTTGGCCGTCCATCTTCCCTCTTAGCGAATGCAACTTTGGTTCCTCGCCGAAAGTTCTGATCAGGTATGTTTGTATATCATCTCTTGTGTATTCCTCCAGTACCATCCTAGGCTTATTCTCAAACGCTGAATAGAAGACTGGTGAGCTCCGGGCCGAAAGCAGGAACTTGACGTTGTCTCTCCGCGAAGTGCTGAACACGAGGTCCATCAACTCCTTCGGATAGTCATCCGTCTCATCCAGCCCATCGATCATGAAGAGAAACTTCTTGTTAGCATCGCCGACCAAGCTCTCAAACGCTGCTTTCAGTTCCGGAAAAGTGAACTCGTGTAGGCCGCCAGCGTAGGATTGGAATGCATTCCAGCGATCGGAGAACAGGTTCTGCACAATGACCCCGTCTTCTTCCAGGGGTCCAAATATCATGTCCTGTAAGCTTTCGTAGATGATGGCTCGCAGTAGACCAATGGAACTCTTCTGCAGCTCTGTCCCATTGTTCCAAAGAAAGAACCCAGACGTGATGCCGGGTTTCTGACCAGACCACGCCTCGAGATGTGGGAACAAGAGTGGATTGCGGAAGAGATATTTCATCAGAGTGGTTTTCCCTGAGCCCGGTTTACCTGGAGCCGTTGTAAGAAGACATTCAGGGATCGAAAGACGGAATAGTAAGAGATGAAGACGCACCGGTGAGCCAATATATTTCTTCGCCCCTCGTATTAGTAAACCACTCCAGCAAACCGCCAACCTGTCTCGAGCCGTCTCCCATCACCCACTCGAACCCTAAATCGACGGAACTATCGATGCTATTCATCCTTTCGTCCATCTCCTCGAACCACAGCCTCTCGAAGATGGTAGCGCGGAAGTATGCTTCCTTCTCCGCCTGGATGAGCGCATCAACCTGTTTGGAAAACTCCTCTACATCCTTCTTCTTGCTGCTTTTCCAATCATTGCTGTGGATCATATCGAGGGTTTGGTTCTGCCACTTTTCCCAATGCTTCGTGTGCACGCCTTCGTCGCCGCTGAACAGAGCGAGACCAGTCTCAATGGATTGATCCAGATACTGGCGCATAGCGAGCAGTAAACTCGTCTCAATGTCGCGACGAAGGGCACGGTACTTCTTCTTTGTACCTGTCACATTGGCCTTCTTCCACACGCCGTTCAATAATGCTTCGCGCGCAGTGGGCCATCGCGGGTCACCAAACTTTCCCTTCTCTTGCGCCGCGATTAGCGCGTCGATGAATGAAGCTGTCAATTCCTTGACTAGCTCAGCATGCTTCAGCAATTGCAGCGCTGCCTCGCTAAGTTTCTTGGCTGCTTTTGCGCTCTTTGCTGATTTTTCGTCGTACAGCTCTTTGAGCTCAGAGTTGTCAATTAGGTCGGTCAGGCGATAGATATTGTGTATGATATCTTGTAGGAAGGCTGCATTTTCCACGAGCGGTGTTGTCGAAGGTGAGCTAGGCTGGAAGATGGGATGGTCTTTGCGTAAAGCGTTGATGGAGAAGTCGATAGTTTGGATGAGCGCACTTGCAAGGCCGACCGCCGGTATGGGGCGCAACATACTGTGGAATTGCTTTTTCGCGGCACAGCAAAAGCCTAGTCGCGAAGTCTGAGCCTTGTGACCCTTTTGATATGCGAAGCGCATGTCTGCTGCGCCCCTAAGGCGTATGCGCACAGACCAAGTTCACTGAGGGCCTAATCCAGGGTGCGGGCGTTTCAAAGTTCAGCGCACGTCGATCTTGCCGACACCACGACCTCCCGCGGTCGTCTCAGGACCGAGGTACTAAGGTCAGACCGTATGGTGCCTTCGCTACGACGACGTCAGGTTGGAACGGTCTTACCTGCCTAGCTATGATGCCACGTTGCCGACTCGACGGCTTCAGCCTGATATTGCGCAATATCGCAGATGCGTAAGAACGCCGCGCCAGCAGTCCGAGGTTGAGAAGGCTCTGTGCTCTTCAATGGCACCAGAAGTTTGAGACTGAGCCGGACGCTTCTGACATGGTAAAGATAGACTGGATCTGCATGGGTTGACGTTTGCCTTGCGCCTACTTCCTCCGTCCTGCCCGGCGCAGTCGTCCCTCACCACAGTGGACCGCTAATCATGACGTTCAACAAGAGTTTCGCCTCTTTCTTCAGTAGTCCAGCATGGACAAACCATCGATATGGATTTTGGCACTGCCGTTGGTGTCGTTTTCTCGATGTCTTTGCTAGAACTCACATTGTGCTAACAACATCGACTGTCACGGGGGATACCTCTGGAATCCATAACAGATCCACCTCTAAACACACAACCCTCTTGTCATCTTCCATGCTCTACTTTAGCCAATAGCGTTGGCGTCGAATCTCTCTTCTGGCATAAGCTTATGCTTTTCTACCCAAAACCTTCCGCCACGCAAACTCCTCCCTAAACCCCAACAACTCCTTCATCTTCGCATTACAAACCGGACTCCCCCTCCCCCTCAAACCGCCCAACACTTCCGTCTCAGGACAAGCCTTCCTCAGCCATTCCTCACTGCTCCCTTCTTCCTCCGGCACCGTAATCTCATCATTAACCGCATTAAAAATCTGGAACCCCAACCCATCCGTCTTCAAACAACACTGCACCATGTTCCCCAAATCGCGCGCATCGGTATAACTCCACGCATGCACCTTGAAATCCCGAGGCCGAGTCAAATACGCCGAGAACTTCTTGGCGTGGTTTTCAGGTTCTATAACTGCAGAGATGCGCAGGCAGTAGATGTCTACGCTGGGAAAGCGGCGGGCGAAGGAGGCGGCCGTGGTTTCCATGCAGACTTTACTGGTGGCGTAGACGTCCATGGGGCTTGTGGGACTGATTTCTGTGAGGGGAAAGTGCGGGTAGGAGACGTTGCCTTCGGCGTAGGTGATCCCGTAGGTGGTTATGCTGGATGCGAGGATGATCTTCTTGACGCCGAGTTTGCATGCTGCCTCGATGACATTGTAGGAGCTTAGGGTGTTGATGCGGTAAGTTTCGTTGTCGGGGAGGCGCATGGGTTGGGGGATGCCTGATAGGTGGGTCGGGTTAGTCTTGTTGAGAGTTTGTTGCTGGAGTCAAGTGATGTTTCCTGATTCCCTGCTTATTTGCAGGATGTCTAGAGGTGGGATGGAAAATGATACGTACCAGCAAAATGTACGACTGCATCTGGCGTCTTGACTGGCTCCATAAAGGGTTCACTAATCTTGAAGTGGCAAGACAGACTGTTGAAGGCTTGCGCCCCATCTGTGAGATCGGCCTTTAGAGTGTGTACATTGGGGTTGTCCAGAGGCGTTGCATCCACGTTGAGTATCTCGTGGCCGAAGGTAAGCAGCTTTTCAATTACATGGCATCCTGCGACTCCAGAACCACCCGTAAATACTATTCTCTTGGTTTGTGAAGAGGCCATCACGCAAATGCGTAGGAATCTGCGAGATGGAGCTGTAAATGAGATCCGACGAAGGCGTTTATAAGTATGTAAATAAGGAACAACCAGTCGTAGAATTCATAGTGCTGATCGTCAGGTTTGTTGTTCTTGGGCGGAGCTTCCCCGCTCTAGCTTACGAAGCTCTAACCTTGTTGGCTCTCTTGAGTGCCGATGTGCATGGAGTCTTGATGGCCGAATCTAGTAATAGTGCGCGGACATGCAGTATACTAGTAGCAGAAGACCTGGGACAAACTCATACCGGTATTGGTACATTCATTCATGTCTATCATTCAAGCCTCAGCTACTCAGTGAGCTGGCGCTTTTGATCGTTATGTTCGGTCTTGCACATCAATTCCCCTCTACACAACCTGGGTGCCGTAACCCCTGATCCTGTCGGCAAATGCCCAGCTCTGGTTCTCCAGCTTCACGTTCTCATCGAGATCGACGCCGTCCTTGGTAATGACGGCAATCGAGTACTTGTCCATACTCCTGGCATCCCTGTAGAAGAGAACCTTCATGCACTCCTTGATCTTCTCTACCGCCTGCTCCCTTGTGACGTTCTCCACGGCGGCCTCATCTGGCAATATTGTCCTTAGGATTGGCTGGGCGAGATGTGCACCGAAGCCAGTGGCCAGCGATGGTGATGAAAAGGTGGTACCGAGAAGGTCTGCGCTTGCGAGGAAGGGCTTCTTGTCTCCGTCCATGCCCACGATGAGCAGGTGGTTCCACAATGGATCGAACTTTGAGCGGCGATTGTACATGACTTTGGCGAGGTAGGTGTGGAGGTTCTTGGCATTCAGCGAGTTTTCGGAGGAGGAGTAGTTCTCGCGGATGTCGAGCGAGTTGAGTAGGCGGTCCAGGTACTGCATGTCGGAAACATCGCCGCCGAAACCCACGACGACCTCGTCATTGAACTTTCGTAGGCGCTTGACGTCGGTGAAGCGAGCGAGGGAGCCGTATGAAGCTACATGTATGGTCAGCCAGACCCTCACTGCCTATAGTAGTGTGCCATACCCAGGTTGTCGGCGGCGATGACTACGCCGTCCTTGAACTTGGCCGCAAGTACTGAGGTACCCGTGACGATCGGGCTCTGGGTGTGCTGGTTGGGGCCGGCAGCGGAGAAGTGCGAAGGGTCGTAGGCGCCGTATACATCGTCTCTGGGCTACGATGCATTAGTACTGTTGCTGTTGGAGGCGGGCGGAAGACATACACGACCCCAAGCTTGCGGCAGGTGGTTCATGGTGGAAGAGGCGACTGAAATGCAGAACTGCAGAGACGGTGTTGTTCGGGATTCGGAGAGAGTGCTATGTCGCAGTGGGCTCTGAGATGAGGTTGTTGTTGTCACGACGCTCGTCAGGCAGTCGGTGGTTGCGCAGCTCGCCCGCCAAGACATGGAGCTGGCCCAAGCTCCGCATATTGAGGTCAATCCGAGAGCATCGTCCACCAGCATTGCGCACTCACAATGCTCGGAATCGACTACCCAGACAGTGACGACGAGGACGTCGTGCCCGCGACCAAGCCAGAGGTGAGACCCGCAAATCTGTGCAGAGGGCTCGGATCGCTACTAATATAGAGTTGACCAACATTCCTGCAGCTGTCGCGCCCACCCCAGCGCCTCTCTCCGCTCCCGCGCCTCTCGAACAGCCGCCTACATCGTCGGGTCCGGTGAGCGGCCCTGCGCAAGGTCCGACAGTATCGCCGCCTCCAGAGGACGATGCCAACGCGAACGAAGCCGCGCCAGGTTCACCACACACAGCTACACGTGCCCTGATTCAGAACCTTACTCTACCTACCGTACCGAACTTCGATATACCGCCTTCTCCGCCGGGATCACCACCACAGAAAGCGACGAAGAAGTTTGCGCAATTTCTAGAGCTCAAGAAGAAGGGCCAGCATTTCAACCAGCGCCTGGAAGGCTCGTCCGTGCTACGCGATCCGGGACACATGCGGAAGCTGATGGGCTTTGCGGGAATCAGCGAAGAGGACGCATATGCATCTACACTGCCACAAGATGTCGCGATACCGGCAGTCTTCCCGGAGTGGGCCTATGTCGAGGAATTGAGGGCTTCACAGAAGCGCATCGCAAAGACCAAAGACCAAGAGAAATCCAAGGCACCGAGAGAAGCTCTCGAGTTTGTGTCCGCGTCCAAGACTGGCGCGTCGAGTGGAACGGGCACGGCGTCAAGCTCTGCTACGGGAAAGCGCAAGGAATTGGAACATAGAGGAAAGGACGATCAGGGCACAAAGAGCAAAGTAGAGCGCAGGTCAAGGTCGCCGAAGAGGAGACGATCAAGGTCGAGAGAGAGAAGGTGAGGGGAGAAGATAGCACAGACTGAGAAGACTTGTAGTAATACTGTGAATGCGGTGTTCGCACAACCAAAATGAAGTACACCCCAAGACATCTGATCCAGACCCTTGCTGTGCATGCCCGCCACAGACGGTAAATGCATGCTCTCACTACATGGGCGCCAAGACACTAGCGCGCGGAAGCTCCAGGCATTCGAGCTGCGTAACTCCAGAGCTCCAGCACCAACAAACAGAAGCGTCGCAACAGCCCACCCCCCTTCCGATACCGACTGTACCTCTGCAACCCCGCCCAAATCCGCCTCTCCAAAACTCGACGATGGCTGCCCTCTACACCGGTGCACCTCCGCAAGGCGGCCCAGGCTATTCGTTCAAGCAGACCCCCACAACTGTCCCGTCAGGCGAGCGGCAACATGGCTTCTACCCGTACGCTGGCTCGCCATGCTGAACATACGCACCGCTAACACAATGCAGCTACACGGACAACGGTGGCTCAACACTGGGCATCTCCGGCGCCGACTTCGCCATCCTCGCAGGCGACACACGCTCGACTTCCGGCTACAACATCAACACACGATACGCACCCAAGCTCTTCAAGATCGGCGGCGAGGGACCAGAGAACAAGGGTGCCAGGATAGTGCTGTCAGTGGTCGGTTTCGCCGCCGACGGTGATGCGCTGAAGGAGCGTCTCGACACCATCGTCAAGATGTACAAGTACCAGCACGGAAAGCCCATGACCGTCTCCGCCTGCGCACAACGACTCAGCCACATCCTCTACAACAAGCGCTTCTTCCCCTACTACGTACATGCCATCCTGGCTGGTCTGGACGAGGAGGGCAAGGGTGCGCTGTACTCCTACGACCCGGTCGGCAGCTACGAGAGGGAGCAGTGCAGGGCGGCTGGCGCTGCGGCATCTCTCATTATGCCTTTCTTGGACAACCAGGTCAACTTCAAGAACATGTACGAGCCAGGCAGCGGAACAGGCCACGAACTCAAGTCGAAGCAAGCACAACCGCTACCGCGGGATCACGTCGAGGACCTGGTACGGGACGCCTTCACGAGCGCCGTGGAGAGGCACATTGAGGTTGGTGATGGCCTTCAGATGATGATCATTACAAACGAGGGCATAGCCGAGACCTTCACACCCCTCAAGAGGGACTAAAAAGGTGTGACGTATAGACTTGGGGTGCAGTATCTTCACGAATTTGATGACTTCAAAACACCAAGCGGATGTATAAGTAGCATACCTCATGCTACTGAAGACTAAGAATTCATCTACATGATCAATGACCGAACATGTTCAAGACAACCTCCCATTCTCCTGGTATTATCTTGATATTGTTTATTTATTAATCTGCAATTAATAACTATGTGCTATATCTATAACTTATCCAATAACAGAACGCTGTTGTTGACTTATCTTCTAGTATATATTATGAAGTGATAAGTAGATTGCTACATATGCTTAGCTTTTAGGATACGTAGACAACATACCTACGTTAAGACTAATGCACGGAGCACCTAATTGGCATTGTGTTCCTATCTTAGCACAGATGTTTTCTCCGCTATTACAAGTGAAAGAAGGCATAATATGACATAGGCAAGAGCAAAAAAGAACAGACACCCTTGAGGTATTAAGTGTCTGGTGAAAACTCCGCTACACTCCCCAAATCGGCATCCTGGCATGCTCCGAAGATGCCATGCCAGGACGCCGCCTTGGGGAGTGTAGAAGTGGTTTTATCACGACTCGAACCCGCGGCTTCCAACATAGCTGGGAGCGACCCAGCATTGGCGGTGGTCTTACCCACTCCTTTGCTATGCTGCACGTTTCCGGCCGATCATCAGGTCTTCCATCCCGAGTCGATGGAGGGACGTAGAAGATCTAGGACTATATAGCGAGAGAGAGTTCGTGGTATACTCTGTATAAAATAGGCGGTGGAGGGAGATGGCTGGACTGGTGGGGAGGCGAGGTGAAGGTGAGTGTGGGCGTTTGCTATTTTGCTGGGTGAAGGTGGGCTGTGCGTGTGTGGCCTGTGGGAAGCGAGAGGTTTGACGAAGAGAAAGATGGTGAAGACTGAAGGATGACAAGGCTATGATCATGACGAAAGGATGGCTTGAGAGGAGAGACAAAGGTTGCTGATATACTCACGTGGGCATCAATAGGGTGGATGATGTAGCAACAAAGACATCGGAGAGACCACAACCCAACACATATAAGAGATTGAGGCATGAATAGAGTACGACGAGGTCGACCTACGTGAATGAAGAAAAATGTACTCACGCAGATGGCAACAGATGCGAAAGAGTGCACTTTGCTACGTCGAAAGATGATCAATCGACGATAACGACTAGGATTAACGGCACACGCATCGAAATTTGTATCAAGAGATACACCATGGTCGACCAAAGATGTGCGTCGATGAAGGAACGAGGGAGGTTCGTGTGCGTCGTGCGCGCCCCCGGGGCCCCTGCCCCAAACGTGCTAGCCGTCCCCACATCGGCAACAGCCAGCCAGGTGCCGACCCATCACTCTACCTACTGCAACTCGAGCACGTACTTCTCAGGCGGCCACTTCATCTGGACTTAAGCCTTCTATCACCTCCGACGCCATATTGGGAAGAGGAGAAAAACAAGCTTTCTAACCGAAGAACCGGATCTGGGAAATGCGCAAACGCGGCACGCGTCGCTTCTCGAATTTCATCTAAACAGATTGCTTTCGATAACTCGTCGCCCTAAGACCTGGATGTCTCGCCCGATCGCCCTAGATCACGGTCTCGCGAATTCAATGTGAAAATCGAACGTTCAGTTGCCGAAGGTGTTGGGGCTGCAATCCACAGGAACAGCATGGTTACCACTGCCAATCAGCACATACGCGTTACGAGTGTTGAGATTCTCGATCCCGAACCGCAGAGATGCGAAGAAGAAGCTACCATACGTTCACAAGACTTGCGCCCAACCGAACCGACGGGAGCTTTATCCGGTGGCTCGTAGCACACGCATTATATGCAAGCAAGCCTGCACGACACCCCCAAAAGCATACCTGTCAAACGAATCTAGAGCCCAGTTTCGGTGTAGTCAACACGGAATGGCTGCCTTTGGCGCACTGATTAATTTCCACACCACCTGCAGGACGTTACACGTGGAAAACTGAACCCGGGTTACGGCACTGACAAGCTTTGCTTTCATATAATCGCAAGTCACACGACGATGCCATACTCTAGAATGTTGCCTCTTGGGGTGTAGTCGCCTAGATCGATACCGTGGGCTACACTCCACCTGTAAGCGAGCATGTTGTATACTTCTTAGGGGATACAGAGGCAAGTATAAAGAGACGATAGGTAGGTATTCAATTCGATACCATCCCAGAACAGTCACAACACTTGCGTTCATTTCATCCAACGATCATCGGCAGAGCATTTATCATGAAGAGTGCAATCATCTTGACCGGCGTTGCTGCCTTCGCGACACAGGTAGCCTCTCATGCCACTTTTCAGCAGCTTTGGGTAAACGGTGTAGATCAGATAAGTACCCCCAAGTGTCTTGTATCAACCGCTGACATCCATCCACCAGTCGACGTGCGCAAGATTACCCAATGGCAACAGCCCCGTCACCTCAGTAGCAAGCAACGACATCCGCTGCAACGCCAACCGCGGTCCAGCAGCCTCGAAATGCAGCGTTCCTGCCGGTGGTACCGTCACCGTAGAGATGCACCAGCAGAACGGCGACCGCTCATGCGCTAACGAAGCCATCGGCGGAGCCCACTACGGCCCCGTTCTGGTCTACATGTCCAAGGTTGCAGACGCATCCACAGCGGATGGTTCGACCCCCTTCTTCAAGGTCTTCCAGGATACATGGGCGAAGAACAGCGGTGGCGGTGGCGGTTCGGATGATTACTGGGGTACTAAGGATCTGAACAAGAACTGTGGAAAGATGGATGTGAAGATTCCCACCAACCTGGCCCCTGGAGATTATCTACTGAGAGCGGAGGCTATTGCGCTACATGCTGCAGGTAGTGCCAACGGCGCCCAATTCTACATCACCTGCTACCAGATCACTGTCACTGGTAGTGGATCTTCTTCACCCGCTGGCGTATCGTTCCCTGGAGCATACAAGGCTACCGACCCCGGTATCCAAATCAACATCTACCAGAACCTCGCTTCGTACGTCGCTCCCGGTCCGGCAGTCATCGCGGGTGGTACAGAAGCCGTTGCTGGTAGTGCTGGATCAGCTGTCACTGCTACTGGTGGAGCGCCAGTTGCTACAGCTACTGCAACCACGATGAGGACGTCAGCGGTAGCCACCTCTGCCGCCGCTGTGCCAACGAATGGAGGTGGTTCTGGCGCTTGCTCTGTTGCAAGGTACGGCCAATGCGGCGGAAATGGTTTCACTGGATGCAAAACTTGTAAGTCGGATGAGCTGAGAAAACGTGCAAATAAGGCTTTACTAACGCTGTGTAGGTGCTTCAGGACTTACCTGCAAGGCCGGAGGTGATTACTACTCGCAGTGTGTCTGATTAGCTTGAATGCAGTCCAAGGGAGGCCCGTAGAAACTTCGTGTAAATACTTTGCAGTTGACACAGGCGCCAAAACCTGTTGCATTCAACAAATGACATTCGTTGTAGCCGCCTAGGTGGAATCAAAGTCTGCGTGATAGGGAAAACGCCCTCCCACAGCTCCATCGCATTTATCGCATCCAAGAACATTGTCAACATTAACATGCCTGGATCTGACTCATTTGGTCGCATGTGCCCTTTGAATGTCATGGGCTTCTAGACTCCGCCCTTTCCATCGGAGCAAACACGTCAAGCTAACCCTCTCCAACCTACCGGCAAAATCATCGGCACTATTTTCATTCCGAAGATTCTCAATCACCATGCAGCCATAAGGATACATGCAAACAAAAAAAGACAATCCAGATCAAGAAAACCAGTCAGACTTTGCAAAACACACCTGACGCGTGTATCCTGACATCTGTGCATGCAACGTTCTTCAGTGCCGCGATTCGGCATTGGACGCCTAACACTGTTGCCTAGCGCTGACACCACGATGCTTGCACTCGCTTACCAAAGCCCGCCAAGTAGGTACTCCGAGGGCTGCACCAAATGTGTAAGGCATGCAGTTAATGGCTTGTGCTGAGTGGGGAAGAGTCAAGTTGAATTCCGAAGCAGCTGAAAAGGGCAATGACGAACCTGATAGGGTCTCCGAGCTGATCGGTAGTGATATGACGAGTCTGCATATAAGAAGACATGTGGAACATCAATGGCAGAGTCATACTTGTCAACGAGAGCAGCCGCATACATTAAGTCGACTGTCTCAGCCCTCTCAATATCTCCAAGCAGTATTGATACGACGTCTACTTGTCACTGCTACCGAAGTACCACCACAATGTCTTCTCAATCCAACACTACCTCACCAAGCGATCTGCCACGCTATTCTACCACGGCACCACCGCCATACTCATCTTCCGATGCGAACTCTCTAATCTCAACGAAATCAACGTCGAAAAGTATTCTGGCAAAGTTGCTGAACCGAAAGCGTATGTTCATACATCCTTTGGCGGATTGGAACTCTAGCTAATACAGATAGCAGCTGCTGAAGCGACGTCGCAGTCGAGCAACGAAGCACAAAAGAAAGTGGATGAGTCTGAGAACAGAGCTGCTGCGAGAGCGGCGTACTTCTCCGGGCTCTGAACGATTCACCGCCTTTAGAGGAGTCAGATTGCCGGATTTGGGTTTCGGATGACGCGTGGAATAGTTCGCATGCTTGGATTCTGGGAATAATGTTGCTGGAAGAGCGGTTTGAGGCGTACATTGTGTCGGATCTCCATAATATACCGGGGTTCGGGTATGAGGCGTTGGACGGTTTGTTTTAGTTGGCCGAGGCTTTGCAGTCCTGTCAACACAATTGATTACACTCAGAACAAGTCCTGGATTGGTCAGCAAATTCTTTCTGCATGTGACTCTTCAGCTTACCGCATTATTCCACGTTGCGTTGTCTAGCCAGTTCAGAAAGTCGGACGACTCTGTTGGTATAGGTTCCAGCCCCTCGGTCATGGGCATATCGAAGAATCCCTGCCCCATCCCGGTCAGATTAGCTGCGGTATCGTCACCGGCATCTGGTGTGCCTTTGGTTGGAGGTTCGTAGTTCAGGACCTCATCTAGTACCAGCGCGAGCATTTTGTTGAGCTCGTTGCAAAGCTTGAGATTGCCGTCGCCGGGAAGAACGCTCCATTCCAAACATGAAGTCAGCACGGAAAGGTTACGGATTATGTCGGCCCGGGAGACTGTGCTAGGCAGTGGTACGCCCTCGATCGTACATCTCCGGAGCTCTAGTGCCAATACACCAGCAGCTGGGGAACAGTAGAATAAAATGACAGTGGGGAAATGGCGACGAGTTTCGTATATGCGGTTTTGCGGCTTAGAAGCCACGAGTGAGGACACCAGTAGCTTCAGAGACACTTCCAACAATGCCGGCAGAGCTTGTTGCGTTATCCGATGAAGGAGGCGTTGTGTTTGGAAATGTACGTGCAGGTAATCCAGGTAGTAGGCGACCAGTCGCATGGCCAGACCAGGACCGCGGTCTACCCAAGCAGCTTCTTCGGTATATGTATCATAGCGAAGGTGAGTCGGTAATGAGTTCCACCATTCGGCACATTCGGCAGATATTGCTCTGCTCTTGTTAGCCGAAGGTTAAAAAGCGATGGGAAATTTAGACGTACTCGACATTCCGCACCACTTCACTATCCTTTTCGCCTGCAAGACTTTGCTCTAACAACCTCTCTTTAAACACAGCAAGTTGGCATCGCATCCTACCGAAAGTAGTAGGGTGTAGATGACCTTCGGTATTCCAACCGTCGCTGTCGAGCTTCGAGAGCGCAGCATTGAGTACATCAGTATCGTCCGAGGCCATAGCGCGATCGCTAATGTCCAACAACATCTTGCGGTCACTGTATCTCCAGCCCATCATCGGAGGCCTTCCGTAGAACACCGCCAGCGTCTTGTCGCCGTAATATATCGCCGCGTAGAGTCGTCTCCTGAATTCGCGCATGAAGAACGGTTCTGCGTTGCTACCGTCTACGTTGCAAGCCTCGCAGTGGATTCCCGCAGCGTAAAGTGCGGATACGCTGTCGCCCATACGCCTCCAAGTAGCATGATCTGGAGAGTCAGCGATCGTAATTTAGTCTTCTGGATGTAGGGGTGACGTACGGTTGTCCCCGTAGAAGCTACTGACCACCATCAGGTTGATGTAAACGAGACATACCATGACTGCTTCCATCAAAATGTGTACGGTAAGTCTGCGTAGGAATGATACGTACGCTCATTGACAGCGCCATGTGTTTGGCAGATGTTGATACACGTATTGGTTGCATGCATTATGTCCTCGATGAACTCCTCTCTATTCATCTGCTTGCCATCTTCTAATGTGAAGAGGGGGTCGTTGGGCGATGTGAACTGGGCACTAGAGCCGGCGATCGCCATGATCAAGCCCAAAATCTCCCATCTCAGATTTTTGCCTGTGAAGAGAGTGTGGAACTCTGACGGACGCATATCTGAAGGTATTTTCATTGGGCGAGCGGAATTCCTTGTCATCTCGGCGTAGAGCAGGTGTGCGTGATTACCAGCAGCTTGAAGTTGTTCTAAGTCTATGCGCAGTTGTGGCAACGCGGAAAGAATTAGGGGACCAGGGAGGGCTGGATCTAGAATTTCGATGTACTAAGTCAGTTTATCTCTCATACGCAGTTTGTACCTGAGAGATTTTACCCTTGTGCGATTCGAAATACATATGAAGAGACCTTTCATAGAAGGAAAATGGCTGAAGCGTAGAGACTATCGTATCTCCTAGAGAGAACTGGCAATGGCGGTGTGCCATGCCTCTATTTGACACGAAAGGGGCTGTGCTCGGGCTTTCGGATGGCTGTTCATGTACTGTGTCTGGTAAGGGCTGCTCTTCTGTGAAGACAGCGGCATAACTAGTAGAGCCCAAGAAGAAGTTCCGGGATGGGTCGGGTCCGCTTTGTGTTGTTCTAGTAGCAGACTCTGGAGGAGTAGGCCATGGCCCAATTCCCGCATCATTCCTCAAAGTTGGTGGACTTAGGGTCAACGGCGTTAACCTTCCCTGACTGGATGACGGATTTGTAGCCTGCGCATCCAACCGGCGACGACGCGGCTCTGGTTTCTTGCGAGGAGTGCCAGCAGGCTTCGTCATTGGGTTAGGATGGTAAAAGCACTGTTCTGTCATCCCACGAATCTGGCACTTTGAGCATGTGGGCGTGGCATGGTCGCACTTGATTTTCGATATGCGACATGGTTCGCACGACCTGCGCGTCACGATTAGCCACCCGTGGGTATCTGACTGTCGAATTCACCAACCTGGGCTTCCCGTTCCTTCGCAGCATACTAGATGATTCTCCGAATAGTGTAAGATTAGTGCGAAAGAACTGTTCCGCACCTAAACTTACGTATCTCCTACATACAGAAGCAGAACCTCGTCGGAGTATTTCTTCAATGTTCCGGCGAAACGGCCCCGCAGCTCGCTAATCCCAAGTAGGTCTAGACCACACCGCTCCACGCCCCATAGTCTCTGTCGTCATTGGATGAGGTTGCTGATAAGCGGGAGCCTACTGGTGATGTACATGATTTTTACTGGAAACAGCTAATGACACGGAATATTCGGAGTGAAAGAATGTCACCAGCCACACAAATTGCAGAACGCTCACCTGAGCAGTCATCAGGTGCATTCATTAGAATCCGCTTTGGAGGTGTTCGCTGATTTCAGCGTGAACAGGCTGATTGAGTACAGGTAAAAATTGAGCGATGAGCGACACTGGATTACTCGTATCGGATATGTGAAGGACTGCTGACACGCAGTGCGGAGTTCTCGACGCCGATGATCTAGCGCGAACTTCGGACATCGACTCCGTCGAAGGCTCCGCGTCAGAAGTCGTATCTGGCATTCTGTGGCAAGTCTTTTCCGAGCAAATAAACGCCATTCGCTATGTATGCTGGTTCTCTGTGTTAAATCTGAAAAGAGCGCCCCAGGCGCCAACGCTGAACAATGCTAGAGTAAACTTGCTACCAATCCACAAGCGTGTACATCTTCGTATGTTTGGGTATAATGCATAGCCATAATCACTGCCACCATCTTGCCTCTCAGCTCGCTACACATGGTTGAGAAGGGACCATGATCGCCACCATCAATGTCCCTTTCTGAGGCTCCTGAGACTACTCCTGGGCAATCTCTTGGGATCTTCTCCTTCGACTATGACCTTCGTAGTGACGCGTATATTCTGCTCCTCTTCGCTCTCGCCGAGATTGCTCATTGGGTACAGCTCGTCCTGGCTCCCTGTTCTTACATCATCTTCCTCGCCATGAGTGCTCAGTTTGCTACCCTTTGTTACACGACTAGCGTTCCCTAAAGAACGGCCCTTGGATCCAGGGGTAGCAATGCCAAAGTGGTATCCCTCAGTGGAACTCTGCTCTTTTCTCGATACCCTTGCACGGTAGAAGCCGTACATTCCAGGCATATTGGCGGTGATGATCGCTACCGCGAATTCGATAGAAGTGACGATCGTGACGGAGCCGAAGATGTACGACACATCTTTCGTGTTTGCGAGTTGCCACAGGACGATGAAGCGAAGAAGCGAAATCATAATCGTGCAGCCTCCAAGGGTAAAGACGCACATCAGACCGATTCGGCGGCGGACCGTAGTTTGTACGTTCCACAGAGGGTAGATCGGGAGGAGATAAATCACTACGTCCATGAAGACGTTCTGCATAGTGTCAGTGGAGAGTAGTCTGACAGGTGACGAGCGACTTACAGCAACGGAGGGCAAGTAGTATGATAGACCAGAGGAAATGCAGACAGCGTTCGGATAAAGTTCTGGGGTGAAAAAGGCCTGGATGGGGATACATTGCAGGCCGTAGAAAATCCATGTGCCGCTCGTCTGCAAGCCGACCAGGATCATAGTGGTTATTACCGCGATCCTAAAACCTGGTGTGACCTCGAGTGTGCGGCGATAGAAGAAGAGGAACGACATCTTTATGAAGAACTGTAGAAGAAGATAGTAGAACTCTTCTGCGAAGAGATACTGCCTTATGTGTTAATATGTATGACCAAGCGAGCGAAAGCGCGCATTGCACGTAAGACTGCCATAACGTACAGTGCTGATTTTCTTGAGGTTTTCAGGCTTAACACGAGGGTCGGTAACGTGCCTAGAAAAACAGTTGGAAAACTTCTCTCCAGAAAGTGTCAAACTTACAGCCCGCCGCCTAAGATGGTCCACATCCAAGCGATATACTGCTGCCCGATGAACAAAATCTGTCTCTGGGTCAGTCACAGCACGGCTCAGAAACAGGGTAGGTTTAACACTCACAGTTCCAACCAGCATGAACCAGTCGTCTGTACCAAAAGGCTTTCGTATAAAAGCTCGAGTGTAAAGCCGGATAGCAGATGATATCAAGCCCATTATGAAGAATGGAACTGTGGTGATCCAAACAATGGGCTGAATGTTATCGTACACCACCAAATTCACATTATCTCCGGCTCTTCGGACAAAATCCATAGTGGGCAGTGAACAGTACGTGAAGACTCCAAACGGTATGCACTTCTTCTCAACAAATACCAAAAGATCGCGAGTACTTCGTCCGGCCGCAATAAGTCGAAGTGCTGCGAGTGAGTAAAGAGTAACCCCTTACAAAACGGGGAAAGGTATGTGTCGCTGTACGCGACGCAGGAACCATTTGATTTTTGCAGCATGTGCCCAATGAAACGGTGCGTGAGTCGGCATGAAGAAGCGCTCCCGATCCTTGTCATGAAGTCGGCCCTATGTCGTTGAAGTTCGCGACCCGTTACTAGGACGAGTATCGGGTGGGGGTTGCCAACGGTCCAAACATGCGGTAGCGACATTCGGTCCTGATGAGGAGACTCCTTTGGGCACGAACGTGCGGCGTGACGCAGAGTGATAAGCGGTGGCATTACCACGGTGTTCTTCAAAACTGATGTTATCTCCCTATCGCGACTTACGTTATAGGCAGTCCGCGAGCTACCCTTAAGGCTTAACTGTAATGCCTTGTTGTATCCTGATCAACTAGAAGTAGACTTTATACTTGTCTCCTTATGTATGCGCAAATGGTATGTGGGTAGTGGAACGCGAACACTTCGGAGGTATTGTGCATTGCCCTAGTCAAAATCTGGGGTTGGACTCCACGGAAGTCTGCATGAGGTGAGATATGCTTTCATTCAAGCTCGCGCCGCGCCGTTGCCGCTTGCCGCGCCTAGATTCCGCACGCACTCACCATGCTTCCTGCGAGACATTAGACTGTCCTGGCGAGACCGTACAAGAGTGAGTCAGGAACGGCACTTTATCGGATGTAGAACTGCAGGTTTTCCGACCGAAGTAACGCCTCACAAACAGTGCATGATTGGCGCACTGGTTAAAATGAACCTTGCCATCTCCACAGTGCAAGGCGCGCAACGTCGGGGTTTTGATATGATCAGCTGCTGAAATTCTCCGTCCTCAAGGGTCGTGGTTTTAAGCGAAATCCTTCTGTCTCTTATTCATTGCATTTTTCTGGAGCTTCTCGGCCTCAACCACGTTTTACCCCAGCAAGCAGCATGTCCGCGAAAGAGCTTAGGATCCGCCCAGCAGGTTGGGAGAGCGCTCCTGCAGAGGAGGACTTCGCTCTCTCCGATATGGACCACACCATGCCGAAGATCTATGTGCAGATAGTGGAGGTGTTCCAGCTCGCGCCACATGTTGAAAAGGCCAAGGTTGTGGATAGCATGGCCAAGGGTCTCGAAGTCACATTGAGCCAGTTCCCAATTCTCGCCGGCGGCTTGAAGATGGACGCGGACAATGGACGGCTGTGGGTGACGAAGAAAAAGGACAGCGAAGTCAGTCTGTTTGTGCAGAACCTGGAGGAAACGTTTCCTTCGTTTGAAGAGCTGGATAGGACCGATTTCCCGGCCGCGACGTTCAAGGGACACAGGTTGTTGCCCAAGGCGGTGACAGAGAAACAACTGTTCTCGCCGCTTGGGGACAATCAGGAAGACGATCTCCTCATCTCTACGTTTCAGATAAATTTCATCAAAGGCGGTCTCGTCCTCGGTGTTGCTATCCATCACAACTGTTCCGACGGCCCGGGATGCGACGGCTTCCTTACCACTTGGGCGCAGAACTCTGCAGCGGTGGCCAATGGAACTTCCTTCCAGGTAATCCCCAAGGAATTGATGGACCGATCGCGTCTCAGTGCAAAGAAGCCAGATGCTGCGCGGTGGAAGGAACTCGACCACAAGTTCCCCGTACTTAAGGATGGCGGGGGTCCGCCTCCTCCACCGCCAGCCGACTTCAAGATGCCCGAGTTGGCTATTCGAATGTGGCATTTTCCTAAGAGTAAGACGGAGGAACTCAAGTCTCGAGCCATGACAAAGACAGGAGACAGTTGGATCTCGACTTACGATGCAATCATGTCCATCCTCTGGAAGAGTATCACACGGTCCAAGCTTGAGCTTCTCCACCCTGATCTTGGCAAGGAGGTCATCCTAGTCCATGCACTCAATACACGAAAGGTGTTGGACCCGCCTCTGCCGGAAACGATGATGGGCAATGCGGTTGCGCTTCCCCGCACCGAGCCGATCAAGATATCTGAACTTCTTGCTGAAGACAACCTTCCCAGCATTGCGCAAAGAGTGCGGAACTCGATCAAGACAATCACTCCGCAATACGTCGCTGAGCTTCCCGAGTGGATCGCGGGGCTCAACGATAGGCGGTGGATCAACATCAACATGAGTTCCTTCCTAGGCATGGACCTGGCAGGTACGAGTTGGCAAGGCATGAATGTGTACCAGAAACATGATTTTGGTTTCGGTGTCGCGAGAGCCATTCGCTTTCCCGATCCTCAATTCGAAGGCTATGTTTTCGTGTACCCGAGCAGGGCCGGTGTCAAGGCGAATGCTGTTGACGAAGGTATCGAGGTATGCGTGTGTTTGGAAAAAGGATGCCACGATCGGTTGATGAAGGATGAGGAGCTGCTGCGATATGCACAGCCTCGTGGCAACTAGGTGCGACATGGCCCGGCCTGTGCTGTATGTCATGACTTTCCACAAGATTAGAGTGTGCTTGAACATTTGCACGTTGTCGCGAAAATTCATATCCAGTGTCTCTCCTGCTTACCGACTGCCCTGTTACCCAGCATCATACTCCCATGACGTCACACAATGCAATGTGGTAGCACCGTCGACCGAGGGTGTCCTGGGTTGAGCGCTTTTCAAGCGCCTTGTCGATTGTCTCGAACAGAATAAGTGAAGCAGCAGCCACCCGGCAAGTGGCGCCGGTTGCACACCGCGGTCGCTCGAACTCACTGTGGGATCCGAGCAAGGTGCACAACTAGTCGGAAGGTCAGATTGAACGTAACGACCATAAGAATCAAACTGCGCCACAGTAGGCGCGGTGGTACTGTCTCGTGGCCAAACCCGGCTGTACGAAAATCGTGCTCCTCACAGTGCTGCGCCCTAGGCTGGAGTGGGCATAGTGTCTGCCCAGGTCGATTGGAGGCAGGACACGATGGCGCCTGCCAGGTCTACGAGCGCGCGCAAAGCAGCAAGCCTGAACGATGATCAAAGACGTTCTTCGTGCCAGCTCTGGCTTCACACTGCTGCCACCCCTCCGTCTTTCACATAGCGCACTTCTGCCAGAGACGCAAGCCAACGACGTCGAGCGACACATGACGCGCGACAGCCGCCACATGATCCGGCTTACCTTACCGTCCGCCAGTGTGCGCTGGCATTCGACAAGCCCTCTTACACAGAACGCTCACATCCCATGGATGCGCGCAACCGGGTGGAAACAACGGTATGACCTATTGCCGGACGGAAACGATTGGGTTGCGCGCCCGCACATATGTCACTGCCCGCAGCATGAGCTGGCAGCTCGTCTACCGGTCAACATCGCAGAGCCGCACTAGATCGTAATTTGCAGTTGCTCAACCAGCCGTCCCCTTCAGTGCGACCTTCATTCGTCCCCCCAAGGCTGCATTTGATGAGGTATGGCTTAGCGAACAAGGCGCAGGCTGTGCATTGCATAAGTCATGCCTGAGGCACCTCGAGGCGGCTGGGGACGACTCCATGTGTTTCAGGACATGGCTCCCGCGACGAGCAAAAATCGCGACCAAAACGTGCAAAATGGGACGCGACCAGCCACTTTGACGACAGAATCTCGACCTCAAACCATCGGTGATTTGCAGCGCAGCGCGAAGGCAGCGCGAATGTTGGTTGTGGTTTGGTGCGATCTAAAAGCTGTGCGGATGCATGCAGCTAAGCCAATAGCTTGCATTTGCCGGTTGTCCTTCACCGGTCCTCGCGGGGCAGCGTAAGATGGGCGGGAATGCCACCAGACTAATCGCCATCTGAACTTCTGACAATCAGCCGCTCTGAGACAGATTCTTCTTGCGCGTCCTCCTCGAGTAGTGTTGGACGTCCCCCATTCTGGTCAGACCCTTCGCGCGTGCCGTTCCCTGTTGCGCATCGCTGTTCTGCGCGGGTACGAGCCGTTGTCTTCCCGTCTTCACCATCTCCAGTCCGTGGCTCGAGCGCTGGGTCATCATCCCACAACAGGATTCTCATAGCCGTCTGATGCGCAAGGTCTAGGAAGACCCTAACTTCTGTCTGGCCCCGGCCGCCACTTGCGCATCATGTCGACATACTCACAGCACTACCAGACCTACCAGGACCAGCCGCTTTTCATCGATCCGCATGCATTTGTCTATGGTCAATATGACAGCCGGCGGTCGAAAACACCAACAGATTCCCTGATCAACCATACTGGACTCTCGCCTGGCCCGCTTGCGACCCCACCGCCTGTGAGCCGCGGTCTGCCGCAACAACCGGAACTGCCCCAAGACCAGCCACCCGAGTATATGCAATGGGAGATTGACAGCTCTTCGACCTCTCCCACGTCTGTAAGGACACCAGAAGGCTCATCATTTGAGGGAGACATGATCGATTACACGCCTAGCTACCACCATAACGGCAATACCATGTCATCCCACGGCTCACACCACTCCATACCCGGGGTGGATTCTGGCATGTTGTTCAGCGATCAAGGTTTGTCATCTTGACATAGCTCAGCCATATCCGCTGACACCCGCATAGCAGTCCAGGCGGCGTTTAACGCTACAATGGCTGAGACGCAGCGGTATCAACAGCAGTATACTATGCAGACCCAACCATCACACCACGTAGCACCGGCACATCCTCAAACCAACATGTACAATCAGAACTATACTACC